TATTTTGACGAGCACCTGATTTAACCTCGATGCCACACAACTTCGTAATTCTGGACGACCAAAGAGAAAGCGCAGTGGTGGATTTTCTTATTTAATTCTGTTGAGGTGGTAGCTCAAGGGGATATTTTGTATTGCCATACGATTTGCTCAGGTTGAACATTAAACTCTTGCAGTTGAGCTGTACACTTTGATAGCCTGAATTTGCTCAAACAAAAACAAAATACTTGTCTCTGTACTTGCGTGTATTTACCAAGAAAAATATAAAAAGGAAAATGGTTAATAGTAAATAATTAATAATAACATTACAGTGGGTGCCGCATTCAACGAGGCCACATTCAACGAGAAGTCGGCTCCAACGAGACAATCCTTGATCCCCGATTTTTCCTATATATCTCTTTTTAAATGTACGTCAGCTCCAACGAGGTTGCAGACAGACCGAAGTCGCTTTCAACGAGGTCGCGATAACCAAATAAAAGCAATTAGCGGCCCCAAAAGCGAAGAATTTTTCTCCTTTCTCTCCATCTCACGTGAAGCAGCACAAGGTAAGGCCCATCCTCGATTCCTAACACATTGTATTGCTAGATCTAGTGTGCCTCCTAATATTATGGACCCCAAAGCCAAGAGGACGGGCGGAGGTTAGCCTACAGTAGGGATGGGAAGGGGTGGGTGGGAACGCGATGCAGGCAGTGTGAAACTGGATGAACTCTGGATCGGTAGGTCTAGATCGAGACCTTCATTTTTTTTTTCAATTCTTATTTCTTTCCCTAATAAAAAAAATCCAAGCTCCTGCCTTTACTGTATGTAGATCTAGGCCTAGATCTAGATTTGAGAGGGTATGTTTCAACACTATAAGTGTTCCGGAGAAAAACATTTTAAAATACAGAAATGACGGTCAGAACACCGCTCAAACACGCGCACATTGATGCTGTTTCAGATTTTCTTCATCAGGGGGAACAACTGTTTTAATTACTGGTGTTGGCACATCGTGCAATATAATAACTTGTCTCCTTTCTTTAGCCTTAGTCACGTTCAACAAAAGGTCGGATCCAACGAGGACGATAAGTCGGTCCGGGCAACTTCGTTGAATGCGACACCCACTGTAAAGTGTAATTGTATAGCGCATATCCCTGCTGAACTGCACGCTTAATGAACTTTACAATACGGTTTGTACCCCAGCAGACCTTGCATCACTCAGGAACATCCTCGGCTTACAATGCAAGCTGCTTATCAAGCACCCAAACACATAAAACGGACATGCTTTCTGTAGCCAAATGCCCATTCCCACCTTGGTGAAGTGAGGAAAATTCGTGTAAAGTGCATTTCCAAAGGATATAATAGGGTTCAAACCCATGACCCTTTGATTTCGAGTTCAACAGCCTGACCACTGGATAACCAACGTCGTATATTACAATTTGTGTACAATGTCAAATCTTATCAAATAAATGGTGAAGTTTATATAAACCTAGAACTGCAGCATGAACTATTCCGTTATTTGTAATCTCAATATCTTGCGCGAATATATTCATGTACCGAGACACAAAAAATAAACCAGGTATATGTTTTGCTTCATGTATATAATATGGTTACTATTCATACACTTATTTAAAAAAACAGAAATATAAAACAATTTTTGAATAATGTTTTGGGACACGTGTACTTTAAGAA